GATCCCAGCCACCGCAGCCTCGACCTGCTGGGCTCCAGCAATCCTTCCTCCTCAGCCTTCCAAGTAGCTGGAACGACAGGCGCGCGCTATCACGCCCAGCTCATTTTGATTTATTGTAGAGATGAGGGCTCGCCAAGTTGCCCAGGTGGGTCTCGAACCCGTGGGCTCAGGCAATCCACTCACCTCAGCCTCCCAAAGCGCGGGATTACAGGCTAAGCCACCGAACCCGGCTGATATATTTTTTTAAATGTTAGATTCCTAAAATCTTTAACGGTAAAAGAAACATATAAAAGGTATTTGTGTTCATTGTTAAAATTTTATGATGACTATACGTGGAGTTGGGGATTCTTCCGATCTAAACTACTTATACTTTGCTTTCTGGGGTCCTAAAATCCTGCATCCCATTTTTACACATTTAAAGTAATTGATCCATGCCAGGCACAGTTACTCATGCCTGTAATCCCAGCACTTTGCGAGGTGGAGACAAGAGGAATACCTGAGTTCAGGGGTTTGAGAGCAGCCTGGGCAACTTGGCGTGACCTTGTTTTTGTTGTTGTTTGTTTTTTGTTTGTTTGGTTTTTTTGAGTTGGAGTCTCACTCTGTTGCCCAGACTGGAGTGCAGTGGCCGCTCCCGGCCACCGCAGCCTCGACCTGCTGGGCTCTGGCGATCCTTCTGCCTCAGCCTTCCAAGTAGCTGGAACTACAGGCGCGCGCTACCACGCCCAGCTGATTTTTTGGTTTATTGTAGAGATGAGGTCTCCCCAAGTTGCCTAGGCGGGTCTCGAACCCATGGACTCAGGCAATCCACTCACCTCGGCCTCCCAAAGGCGCAGGATTACAGGCTGAGCCACCGAGCCCGGCCTTGTTTTTACAATAAATAAATTTTTTTAAAAATTAGCCAGGTGTGGTGGTGCACGCCTGTGGTTCCAGCTACTTGGAAGGTTGAGACAGAAGGACTTCTGGGCCCAGCAGGTTGAGTCTGTGGTGGCCGTGATCGAGCCACTCTGCTCCAGTCTGGGCAACAGAGTGAGACCTCCTACTCATGAAAAAAAAAAAGGAATTGATCCTTATTTTTTGTGTGCCCCTGGAAGTTTTACAAAATGGATATATGATGTAAACAATTGGTAGTCTTGCAATCAAACTCATTGTTACTGGCTTTCTAAAGAAAAAAAACTTTTTAACACTGTTGTTTCCTTTTTTTTGTTCCTTCTTTATTTATGTATTTGTGTCAAGATCTTACTCTGTTGGCAGGGTGGAGTACAGTGGTATGAGATTGTGGTAGTCTTTACCTCCTGGACTCAGGTAATCCTTCCACCTCAGCCTCCCATATAGTTGGGACTATAGGCTTACACCACCACACCCAGCAAATTTGTTGATTTTTTTGTAGAGACGAGATCTTACCATGTTGTCCAGTCTGATATCGAATTCCTGGGCTTAAGCAGTCCTCCTGCCTCTGCCTCCCGAATTGCTGAGATTATAGGTTTGAGCCACCATGCCTGACCAGCGCTATCCTTTTCAACTGGTAATCCACGCCTTGGGAGGCTGAGGTGAGTGGATTGCCTGAGCCCGCGGGTTCAAGACCCACCTGGGCAACGTGGCGAGACCTCATCTCTACATTAAATCAAAAAATTAGCCGGGCGTGGTAGTGCGCACCTGTAGTTCCAGCTACTTGGAAGGCTGAGGCGGAAGGATCGCCAGAGCCCAGCAGGTTGAGGCTGCAGTGGCCAGGAGTGTGCCACTGCACTCCAGTCTGGGTGACAGAGTGAGACTCCAACTCAAAAAATAAAAATAAATAAAAATAAATAAACTGGTAAACTTCATTAAACTGTTAGTTCCCTCCCCCATTATATGCCAAAGTGGAAATCAAATACTGATTTATCTGCTAAGTCCAAAGATCAGAATGCCATTTTTTTGTAGGACAGATAAAGTTCTTAGATAAGTTATTTTAGATACAAGTTATACAGTATCGTGTTCTTTGTATACGTGGTGGTTCTCAAAAAGGGTGTGCAGTTTTCTTAGGAGTTTCATAGTAGTTTAAGGAACTGTTCCATAATCAAGTCACACAAAATCTAATTTCACTGTTAATTTTTATGTTTAAAGGGCATATTAAGTATATTTTAAAAAGATGTAGGCCAGGCATGGTGGTTCACACCTGTAATCCTAACACTTTGGGAGACTGAGTTGGGAAGATTGCTTGAATCCAGGAGTTCGAGCCCAGCGTGGGCAACAGAGTAAGATGGCATCTCTATTTATGAAAGGAAGAAAGAAAGAGAGAGAGAGAGGGAAAGAGGGAAGAAAGAAAGGAAAAAGGGAAGGTTGGATTGAAGGTGTGATTGATCCTAAGGTTTGTGTCTTTTTTTTTTTTTGAGTTGGAGTCTCACTCTGTCACCCAGACTGGAGCGCAATGGCCGCTCCCAGCCACCGTAGCCTCGACCTGCTGGGCTCCGGCGATCCTTCCGCCTCATCCTTCCAGGTAGCTGGAACTACAGGCGCGCTACCACGCCCGGCTGATTTTTTGATTTATTGTAGAGATGAGGTCTCGCCAAGTTGCCCAGGCAGGTCTCGAACCCGCGGGGCTCAGGTAATCAACTCACCTCAGCCTCCCAAAGCACGGGATTACAGGTTGAGCCACCGAGCCTGGCTGACAATTGGTTCTTTGAGATGCTCCTGGAATGTACATTTCTAGGCAGTTATCAAAAAATGCCCAGCTCATAAATGTACATGCAGTTTGATGAGTTCTCACATAGTGAACACACCAATGGATCATTACCAGCATCCTAGAAACCTGGCTTAAAAATTTTGTAGTCGCTAGCTTCCTGAAGGCAACTTCCCACTGACTTCTAAAACCTTGTACTAGTTTTGAGCAGGCATTTAAAAATAAAACTTAAAAAAAAATTATCCATGCTTTTTATAAAAAATTGAATAAGAGGAGTATGGCCGGGGTGGTGGCTCACACCTATAATCCTAGCAATCTGGGAGGCCAAGGTTAGGAGGATTTCTTGAGCCTAGGAGTTCGAGACCAACTGGGGCAACATAGCAAGACTTTGTCTTTTTAAAAAAAAAATTGACCAGACTCGGTGGCTCAGCCTGTAATCCCAGCAGGAGGCTGAGGCAAGTGGATTGCCTGAGCCCGCGGGTTCAAGACCCAACCAGGCAATTTGGCGACACCTCATCTCTACAATAAATCAAAAGTTAGCTGGGCATGGTAGTGCATGCCTTCAGTTCCAGCTACTTGGAAGGCTGAGGTGGAAGAATTACCGGAGCCCAGCAGGTCGAGGCTGCGGTGGCCGGGAGCGGCCACTGCACTCCAGTCTGGGCGACAGAGTGAGACTCCATCTCAAAAAAAAAAAAATTAAGCTGCCACCCCATCATCCACCTGCTGGGCTCTGGCGATCCTTCCACCTCAACCTTCCAAGCAGCCGGAACTCTAGGCATGTGCTACCACGTCAGCTAATTTTTTATTTATTGTAGAGACGAGGAGGTCTTGCCAAGTTACCCCGGCTGATCTCAAACCTGCCGACGCAGGCAATCTTCTCGCTTTGGCCTCCCAAAGTGCTGGGATT